CAGGACACTAAAAGGCTCCACCCTCACAACCTCTTAATACCTCCCAAAGACCCACCTCCTAATACCATCACGTTGGATGTTAGGATTTCAACATATTACCTGGGGGAGGGAGGTCCACATTTAGTTTATAGCAACTATACTTGGTTTGCTCACTACATTTTGTTATGCAAAGAATTAAATTACATTCTATATCCCTTATGGCCATGATATCATTCAATTATCTACCTTTTCCTGCCTCATTAGACACTGGAATTATAAGCAGAAGAAACAGTTAAATTATGACTCTTTTCATGTGTTTATGTTTTGTTGATAATTCTTTGTGAAATCTATTACACAATATTTTAGAGGAATGTGCAATACTAACCTTTATATCCGTAATCAAATAAAATGAAAAAATTGGATTCTATGTTTATTTTAAATTAAATAAAATGTCTAGTGGCATTTACTTTATAATGTGCAAAAGGCAATCTGGTCATGATTTGAGGTGAATAAGCTCTTCTACGATGGAAGACTGAAGTACCATTCCAAGGTGAAAGCCCATGTTCAACTTCATATTTGGGAAATTCATTTGCTTCTTATAAACCAGCCTATCTACATTAAAAAAATGCATCACAGGGAACCAAAGGTAGCCTGTGCTTGAGTTTTAGTGTATTATTAAAGAATATGTTGCAACATCAAATTAAAACAAAGTTCTACTGGAAGAGACCACTGGAGGGGCAAATAGCATCTGACCTATGTGATTTGAAAAGCAGTCACGGAACAAAACAAGAAACAAGAAAAGAAAACTAGTCATTGTACTTTCTTTTCTCAATCTTTGTCTCTGACTTAAATGTTTACTTGTCAGCCGTTGTTTTGTTTTTACGACTGTATTATGAAGGCCTTTCTTAAAAAGATTATACACACACGTGTGTGTGCGTGTGTGTGTGTGTGACCAAAATAAGCATTTTCCTTCCCGCTGCCTGGAAAGATCATACTCAATCATTAGTATTTACATAGCACTTGCTTCCATCGAATTCTAAGAGCAGAGGGATTCTCTTTTAAAGTCATTGGTGAGACAGTTTGTTTTTTCCATGAACATACTGAAATTATGCACTGGGCAAATTAGTGAATTTTACCAAATATGTCTCAAGGATAAATATAGCAATTTTCACAGTGAATGTTTTCCATCTCTCAGGAAATCTGTTTGTCATAAAATGACAAGATTTTTTGGAGGGTTGGGGGAATGGGGCGATTGCCTTTGCAAACTGATTTTGAATTTCATTAAATAACAAGGCAAACCTGAAAAATATTTTATATTTAATGGAAGTACTTAAGCATGATCTTTTGGTGGAAAGCAAATGGAAAGAATTTTTAGCACATCTACTAAAGAAACAGATTTTCCTTTACTGCTCCAGGGTGATCATTATAAACCATAACTTTAAAATTTTAAATTATGAAAAATATCTCATCTTGGGAATTCATGTGAATTTATACCAACAAACTAGTTTTGTGATGTTGTAAGTGAGAATTAGTGTGCTTTTATAAGACAATAATTTTGCTATTTTTCTGTGCAGTAATGCCAAAATAATCAGGTTCAAAATATGATGACTTACAGTGAAAATTACATAAAATATTTCATATTTGTATCTCTACTGCCATATTTTTGGAAGAATGAAGTGAATGAAATACTAGATGGAGAAATAGCCAACATTTTATGCCCTCTGAAGCATATAAATAATAAAATATCCAAAGTTTACAGATGACCTAAATTCTGTGTTTCACCAGTAACTCTCTGAAAGACACAGGTCTTCCATCCAGTTATTAAAGCCATAGTGAAAGTTAACTCTGAGAAAGCTACTATGCTAATTATGTCATAATACTACAGGGATGTGAGTGAAGAAATACTCAAAAAAGAAAACCGTTACAGAGTTTTCATAATTATTTCACTAGGAAATGTTCTTCCTGGTGGCTATTTAAAAAAAGCAACAAAACAATGTTGAAATGTCCTATAAATTATACCTCAAATCAAAAGGTGGCAAAGTTTTCATTTTCTTTCCATCTCTCTTCCCTCTATGAATTCCTTCTATTTTGAGTAGTCTTTCCAAGGAGGCTTAAACAATTACATGCTCTTGAAGCAACCTGTTAGCTTTTCTTTTTGTCCATTTTTCCTACTTATGTGGCATCTGGCTTCCTGGCACCTTCTAGTGTTGCTGTTTTTATTCATACCAAAGCTATGTGGATTTTAATGTAGTTAGTTATTTAAGTTTTGACATCATAGTCAATTCATGTTTTAAGCCAGTCTCTGGTTAGAATGTCTATTTAAGACACAATTCTTAATATAGAAAGGAAAGGGCAAGAAAAGACCAGGATTTTTTTTTTCTTATGAAATTGCAATGCTGTCAATTAGAAATTGAATTATATATGGCACTCCTATCATAACCATATATAACAGAGGTTTGATTGACCAGAAAGTTTTTATAAATTGATATGATTTGTCATCAGTTTTTCACAAAGGTTCTCGCTGACAGCTTAACAAAAGGGATGTAACACCACCTAAAGTAAAGAGCAGCATGATAGTAATCATTTTGTACATTAAATTATGTATTTTCTTTTACTAACATATAGCCAATGTTTATTTCCTATTATGCTACCCATATAAGTGTAATTGATAATGATCAACAAAATTCCCCTATCATTTTAATAATGTATATGCTAATTCCTTATTATTTTCCTAGCAATTGGCAGAATTTTGCTCTTTGCACCGGGAGGATGTTTGAGATTCTGCATAACCCAGGTTTATTTTCTGTGTATTGCAAAACGCGGGATGTTCCCTTTAATAACCTGAAATTTTAATAAGGGTCTAAGAAATAGTTGGAAAAAAATCAGTGAACTTGTATTTAAATTAGGTCTTTGAGAGCTTGGAGATTCTAACTTGGTGAACTCTAATTAAATCCCTTAAGGCCACTGGGTCTGCCTCCCTAGTTCTTGATGGTGAAAGTAAGGTCTTCAAAAAGAGTCCCTTGGCAGTATACAAGTGGAGGGGAAAAATCCTACAGCCCTTCACTGTAGGATTTGTAAAATTCTAGCATTTTACAAAGCTAGAATTCCAGAAGGAGTACCAGGCAAGGGGAACTACAGAGGCTGAAACCTGAGAACTAGGAAAGCTGGAAAGTAGAGGAAAAAGAATTTGGAAAGAGCAGTAATTCAAGAACATCATTCACAGAGACGGCAGTGTAGATGTGAAGCAAGACAAAGGAGCAAATGAGATACACATGTGCTGGTAACGACGGAGCAAATCTTAGCTGGCACATTTTGCAATTAACATTTCCAGGAAGAAATGCTCAAATACAAAATTGTCATTTTTTCAGTTCTGACATTAGAGTGTTTTTTTTTCTCTCAGGGCACATTTTCCATATAAATATCTAAGCTGCCCCCCACCCCCCCACAACTAGAGTTTAGTTGTGTGGGTGAGTTTATCTGTGATTGAGAGCAAAATAGGTATATTGGGTCTTCTTAAGGCCAAGAGGAAATAAATAATAGGCGATCAAAATATGTGGAACTTAAACTTGTCTGTATTCTCAGTAGCTTTGCCTGTTCAGTAATGTAGAGGACATGAACTAAATAAACCATTGAGTGAATGCTTCTTTATTTTGTCAGTGTGATAGAGGTTGGAGGTAGGGAGATTTTTGTCCTTTCTCTTCACATTTAAGATATATTCAAAAGTAATATTTATTAATAGTATTCATATTTAATCTCCTAAACCCATTGTGCACTAAACACTCCATATTGCCTCTTAAAAAATAGAATTGTCAGCCTCGCAGAGAGCTTTTTTCTTCTTTTCTTTTTTTACCCTAATCATTCATTTTCTACCAAAATATCCAGTTTGGCTGCCAAAGGGTGTGTCAGTCCTTGCCATAGATACCTGTGTTGTGTTCCTTTTTTACTTTTTGGCATTTACACTTCCTTTTACTAGATTGTATTTTGGTAGATTAGGACAAGGATCTGCCAGTAGTGTAAAATACCCACAAAATTTCCTTCCCCAGTGGGTTCCTGTGAAGATGGACAGAGAGCTAATTGAAAAGGAGAGGCGCACCGTTGGGTTCTCATTAGTCTATTTCAGTGCCATGGTCACGTGCACTAGTGTATTCTTTCATATGTGATTGATATGTGATGTTCTGGCAGCCCCCATCCTGACCAGATGCTCTACAAAGTAGGAATAACATAGGAAAACTTAGAATTTATACTTTTGTAGTTTGCTCTGCTTTTTATTTCAAAAAGGCTTTTAAAGTCCTATGAATGCTATTTAGATCACTTATATGTCTAGATGGAAATACTGATTCTTGATGCTTTGAATAAACCCCTAACCCCAAAGGCATATTGAGCTACTGGGTGCTAGCTTTGTTCTTGAATACAAGTTCCAAAAAGTTTTATTTACTTTTTGAACTCTTTGCTAGGATGAAAGTGCCATAGTGCTTTTGTGGTCTGCCACTTAAGTGGCTTCATCTTTTCTTGAGGGAGAAATGAAAGTAACAAGCAAAATATAGAGGAGGTTTTAGTTTGTTCTCTGATCAAAAGGGTCATTTATTGATCTGGTGCTTGAAAGGAAAAGATCTGTTTGGGGGAATGTCATTGTACTATCTAGAGTCTGAACTCTTCTTTTCTTATTATCTATTAGGGCATGATAAGTCTACAATTTTCTTTCTGCTGAAGCAAAACTCATAATTAAAATAAGAGCTCCGTCACCATTATGACCATATGACTGTTGTAGTAAACTTGCAAAGCTGAAAATAAACATCCATGCTAATTGAAATGCTGATATTTTAATTAGTCTTAAATGTAGATGATTTCTTCCAAGTGATAGTTCACACTATAATATTTTCGTGGTTTCCTCTCTTACCCAAAAGAGGAAATTAGGAAGCATCGTCCTTTGAAATTAAATATTATCTACTTTCTTTTCTCCCTCCTCACTTTTCAGACCTCACAAATTAGTTTGAATAAACTACTGAAGGATTGTCCAGTGACTGGAAGAATACACTTAAGGTAGAAATTGCAGTCTCATTTCAACTGTAGACCTACTACATCAAATTGAACAAGTTAGTAAATCCTTCCCACATTTATTTTCTTCTTGGAAAATTCCAATATGGACAATAAGGAGCTAGAGTTTAATATGGGCTTCCCTAGAGTTTAATATATATTGAGAAATTGAGGTATATAGGGCATTATACAAAAAAGACATTTGACCCCTTCTAAGAATCAAGCCTAAAGATTGTTGGACGTATGTAATATATATCTAGATAGATAGATAGAGGTATATATGTGTATGTGTTGTAGGTATAAATCATTGTAGTAAGTGATGGATTTGGATATATTAATATCATATAAATATTAAATACATGTAGTTGTGCTGATACAACTTTCCCAAACTTTGTTCTTTGGGATACCAGTGTTTTATAAGATGTCATATTCTTTGGGGGGGGGGGGGAAGGGGATCCCTGTTGAAATAAATGTAGACTTTTTTTTATATATTTGTAACATAAATCGGAAAATTAGAGACTCTGGGAAAGAATGCAGAACTAGAGCCAATGATTCTAAAACCTATTTTGTCTCATTATAATGATTAATGTAAAACTTTTATGAAAAATTTCATCACTGTCCCAAATATACATTTGGGAAAGAAAGATTTATAGCAACAAAAATGTACATTAAAACCTTGCAACACTTGTATTGGAATACTGGCTCAACTATTTAACTATAATACTAAAGAGAAAATATTTAGCTTTCTTAGCTGTCAGTTCTTATTTGCAAAGTAGGGGAGATACTATTTATGCCATGCTTGTTGTGTTTATAATGTGTGGCTTATGTGATGTATCAACTTACTGCCCATTCCACTTCTGCTCTGCTATTTTAGTTGAGGTTTCTTTAAAAAAAAAATATTTTCCTGTTTTTATAAGATTGAAGTCAATGTCTTTGTTAGATAAGTTCCACATGTGAAATCATGAATTTCAAGAGTTGTCACTCAATATACAGAATTAAGAATCTGTATCAGTTAATAATGCATTTGGCTAGACGTCTTAGGGAATCTAAAAAGAGTTTAAACAGTTTTTGTTTGCTTTTCTTTTTCTTCTTTCCTATATGGCAGGAAGTCCAGATCAACAGTTCTCTCTCTCTATTCCATCGTCATCATTTGCATATTGTATCATATAGCTCCTTTGCATGCCAACCACTTTGGGTGCAGGCCGTTGTGTGCCAGACCCCATGTCCAGAGATGAGGGATTTTATTCAAATTTGAAAGTATAGGGAAGGGCTAAAAACTCCAGGCATGCTTGGTCTGTCTGCCTGGCATGTGGCAGCTGCCAAGAGAGGATACCTCCATGTTCAGCAGTATGATCCAGAATGTGTGAGGACTATGAATATGAAAAAGGAGCATTTTTTTTTGGTCCGATTCTTTTTTGTTCTACCCACCAAATTACAATTTGGTGTTGGTAGTCAGGGCATGGGGCATGGGTGGAGAAGATGGTTCCCTCACACAGCCAGTAAGCAACTCTCTGGATACTGATTAGGCGCCCTACAAGTCAGATCAATTCTGACACTACCTACCTGGTGGCTCAGATGCTAAAGAATCGGCCCACAATGCAAGACACACAGGTTTGATCCCTGGGTTGGGAAGATCCTCTGGAGGAGGGAATAGGGAATAGCTACCCACTCCAGTATTCTTGCCTGGAGAAGTCCATGGGCAGAGGAGACTGGCAGGCTACAGTCCATGGGGTCGCAAAGAGTGGGACAAGACTGAGTGACTTTCACTTTCCACAGGGGAAAAGGGCTCAGTCCTAGGAGACCACGTCCTACCCCCACCCCCACGACATAGGTGTGACCTGTGCTTCTGACCCACTGGCTACAAATTGTAGGTTCCTTAAAACCCTCCGGCTCAAGATGTCAACTTATGTTGTTACCGATATTTCTGACTGACCGGCTATAAATGAGAGGTTCCCACGACTTCCATCTTGGGTTTGACTAATTTGCTAGAGAGGCTCACAGAACTCAGAGAAACACTTTACTTCTTAGATCACTAGTTTATTATAAAGGGCATATCCCAGAACGGCCAGATGGAAGAGATGCATAGGGCAAGACAGGGGAAAGGGTGCAGAGCTTCTGGGTTTTCTCCAGGCACCTCCCTCTCCTAGCGCCTCCAGAGGTTCTCCCACCTGTCCTTTGGGTTTTTATGGGGGCTTCATTACTACCTGGTGGCTCAGATGCTAAAGAATCGGCCCACAATGCAAGACACACAGGTTTGATCCCTGGGTTGGGAAGATCCTCTGGAGGAGGGAATAGGGAATAGCTACCCACTCCAGTATTCTTGCCTGGAGAAGTCCATGGGCAGAGGAGACTGGCAGGCTACAGTCCATGGGGTCGCAAAGAGTGGGACAAGACTGAGTGACTTTCACTTTCCACAGGGGAAAAGGGCTCAGTCCTAGGAGACCACGTCCTACCCCCACCCCCACGACATAGGTGTGACCTGTGCTTCTGACCCACTGGCTACAAATTGTAGGTTCCTTAAAACCCTCCGGCTCAAGATGTCAACTTATGTTGTTACCGATATTTCTGACTGACCGGCTATAAATGAGAGGTTCCCACGACTTCCATCTTGGGTTTGACTAATTTGCTAGAGAGGCTCACAGAACTCAGAGAAACACTTTACTTCTTAGATCACTAGTTTATTATAAAGGGCATATCCCAGAAACGGCCAGATGGAAGAGATGCATAGGGCAAGACAGGGGAAAGGGTGCAGAGCTTCTGGGTTTTCTCCAGGCACCTCCCTCTCCTAGCGCCTCCAGAGGTTCTCCCACCTGTCCTTTGGGTTTTTATGGGGGCTTCATTACACAGGCATAATTGATTAAATTATTGACCACTGGAGATTAAATTCCACCTTCAGCTCCTCTCCTTTCCCTAGATGTGGGGGTGGGGCCAAAAGTTCCAACTTTCTAATCACAGGATTGGCTCCACTGGCAACCAGACCCCATTCTTCATTGGTTTCCAAAAGGCATTATTTAACATAATAAAAGATACCCTCCTTGCTCTTTGAAAGAAAGAAAGTAAAAGTGAAATCGCTCAGTCGTGTCCAACTCTTTGCAACCCCAACCATCCATGGGATTTTCCAGGCGAGAGTACTGGACTGGGTTGCCATTTCCTCCTCCAGGGGATCTTCCCAACCCAGGGATTGAACCTGGGTCTCCTGCATTGCAGGCAGACGCTTTACCCTCTGAGCCACCTCGGAGGCTTTACCCTTTACCCTTAGGCAATTTCAAGGGTTTTGGGAGTGTGATTCAGGAACCAAAGATAAGACCAGATACAGATTTATTATTATAAATCACAATATCACACTGATAGACTGAATTGAAGAGTTGATGACTTTAGATGTTAATTTATCTCTGGAACCTAGGCTAACTCTGGGTCCAAAAGAACCTCATTTTGGTGGCCCTGCAATTTCTACCAAAGTTCTAAAGCTTCTTGATTATTAACTGTAATACTGATAGATAACATACCACATTGCTTAAGAACAGGACTTTGGTTTCATACACAATTGGGACTTGAATCTGACCAGTGCTGTTGTTTATGTTTGTCACCTTGGGGAAGTCATTTTGCACTCAGCTTTGATTATTTTTTCATCTAAAAAAGTGAAAATATTGTCACTCTTTCCCTTTAGGGTCTTTTGGGAGGATAGCATCTGAAAATCTATTTAACAGACTTGGTACAAAATAGGGCTTCCCTGGTGGCCCAGCTGGGAAAAGAATTCGCCTGCAATGTGGAAGATCTGGGTTTGATCCCTGGGTCGGGAAGATCCCCTGGAGAGGGAAACAGCTCCCCACTCCAGTATTCTGGCCTGGAGAATTCCATGGACTGCATAGTCTAGGGGGTTGCAAAAATTTGGACACGACTGAACGACTTTCTTTTCTGCTCCTCATGTATAACTTTCCACTGACTTCCTTCTCCCTTGATCATGTCTAAATTTTCAGGAATCTCTGCTTCTCAGATGGATTCACACTTGAGCAGTCCTAATGGTCAAAATGAGGTGGGAATTTCTGTTTCATCCCATCTGCTAGTCCAGACAGGCCAGAATAGGCCACAGAGCTCCCTAACCAATTCCATTTTCAGAAATGCACAAGACTTGAATCTGACCAGTGCTGTTGTTTATGTTTGTCACCTTGGGGAAGTCATTTTGCACTCAGCTTTGATTATTTTTTCATCTAAAAAAGTGAAAATATTGTCACTCTTTCCCTTTAGGGTCTTTTGGGAGGATAGCATCTGAAAATCTATTTAACAGACTTGGTACAAAATAGGGCTTCCCTGGTGGCCCAGCTGGGAAAAGAATTCGCCTGCAATATGGAAGATCTGGGTTTGATCCCTGGGTCGGGAAGATCCCCTGGAGAGGGAAACAGCTCCCCACTCCAGTATTCTGGCCTGGAGAATTCCATGGACTGCATAGTCTAGGGGGTTGCAAAAATTTGGACACGACTGAACAACTTTCTTTTCTGCTCCTCATGTATAACTTTCCACTGACTTCCTTCTCCCTTGATCATGTCTAAATTTTTAGGAATCTCTGCTTCTCAGATGGATTCACACTTGAGCAGTCCTAATGGTCAAAATGAGGTGGGAATTTCTGTTTCATCCCATCTGCTAGTCCAGACAGGCCAGAATAGGCCACAGAGCTCCCTAACCAATTCCATTTTCAGAAATGCACACTGCTGAGCACATTTTGCTTCCCTTGGGGAAAAGACTCAGGTAACAGATGAGGATGTTGAAATAACACCACACCCACCACTTTCCAGAGAAGCTAATTTAAAATCACTTGCAATCTGGGAGAATCTGTCTCAATATCTTCTTGCAAGAACCTACAGCTAACTGTTTACTGAAAGGTTTCCTGAGAATAGGATTTTATCCAAGACTTGTGACAGTGGTAACATAGAATGAGGCTACAGAGATCTAATTAAAAAGGTGATTTCCTAACATATGGAGCTGCTCTGTGAAATCCAGAGGATGTGCTGTGCTGGGGGAGATGTTGACCCTGTAAATTCTTATGACATTAGACTTAAATCTT